CAGCCTACGCCATCGCCGGCAACTCACGGCAGCCCAGCTCCAGGTTGAGCTGTTGTTCAGCATCTTAGCTGTAGAGTGCAGTGTCACTGGCCCTCATATGTGGGATCCAAACCGGGGCCCTCTGGCGTCCCAAGCCAGTTCTTAACTATCGTGCCACTCGGCCAGCCCTACAGCTAACATTTTAGTACTCGACTTGCCATTTTTAGGCATTGGGAAATTACATTCATTTTTATATTTCCATATCTTGCTTTTAAAACTTACTGTTAGCATCTGCCATGTTATTGCAAACTATCTGTAAACATTTGCAAAGACTGCATCCTATTTCCCTGTTAGCCACCCCTATGGCTGGACATTCATACTTATTCCATTTATCCCTTACCAACAGTACCATTTATTTACTCTTTGCTAATTTACTATTACACATAGTAGCGTGAGGCCATTTCTGATGTGCTTCCATACATAAGCACACCTCGGAGATACTGTGGGTTTGGTTCCACACCAATGCAACAAAGCGAGTATTGCAATAAATGAATTGTAATACTTTTACTGGTGGAGGGTCTTGCCTTCAATTTGTAAAAAAGGCAATGTCTGTGAAGCACAGTAAAACAAGGTATGCCTGTGTATGTTAACTAACCTCAGATCCTCTGTACACCTCTGATCTGGGATGGGACTGTTTTCATGTTAATAAATATAGAGCTCTCCATAGAAAAGAAATATTAACTCATTTTTTTAACTACCGAAGATAGTTTCCCAGCTTAATTTCTGCTTTTTAATTCTCTGAGATACTTTTTAGAGTTTTAAATTAGTCTGATAAATTTTATTCTATATGCATAGAATGGAATACTATTCAGCAATAAAGCAATTAAAAGGAAGCGACTATTGATACATACAACATGGATGAATCTAAAGATCATTATGCTGAGTGTAAAAGTACCAGACTCAAAAGGGTACAGAATGTACAATGAATGTGCATTTATATAATATATAATATTTCAGAAAATGCAAACTAATCTATAGTCACAAAAACTAATCAGTGGTTGCCTGAAGCCAGGAGAGAGGAAAAGATGAGCTGCAAAAGAGCACTAGAAAACTTCTTGGGGGTGTTGAAAGTCTTCTATATTTTTATTGTGATGGTTTCATGAGTGTATACATCTGTCAAAACTTGCAATGGATAGTTAATTGTATTTGAAGTATACTTCAACAAATTATCAGCAAACATTTTAAAAATCCATAAGTGGTCAAATTTGACATACTTTTCTTATATCATTTCTAAGCTAGAGAGTCTTCCCATCCCTAGAGGTTGAATAAATAATCATTTTTTAATAGTCTTCCTTCTACTTGTGAAGTTTTAAAATATTTAATTTTAACTTATCAGTTTATTTCAATTTTTGTGAGATAAGACTCCATTCCCTGTTCCCCTCCCCCACAAATTAGCTAACTTATAGTCCCAGCAGTTGAATGATTCATCCTTTCTCCCCTGATGTTGGAAGACTCTAACCTAATATCAAAGCTTTCATCTATAAGGCCATCCATTCTGACTCAGTGGTCTGCCTGCATTTCTGAACATTCTTTAAGGCGGCAGGTTCCATGTGGGGGAAAGAATTCTTTCAAAAATTGCATATAGAATTCATTTTCTGACCATCTGCCGAAACCACCTCATTTAGTCTGTCCTGGCTCCCAAACAAGCTGGTTTTGAGGCTGAGGTTGAGTGTCCCATGGAGAAACGAGCTATGCTCTGGCCAGGGGGTACAGGCTAGAGGAAACTCATAACTACCCTCTTCCTCCAAGGGAAAGGGGAAGGAAGTGCTGACGCAGACTGGTGAAGTTAAAGGATGGTTCTGGGGGTGGAACTTTCATGCAGCTGGAAGTTAAGTCTGCACGACAGGGTAGGGCTAAGTCCTCATGGGGAAAGTTAGCCATTTCTCTCCCTCTCTGGCTCACTTAAAAGTTCTTCCCCATACTGATGTGTGGGTGAGCCCCATCAATGTTACAGGAAGCAGCTTCTTTCCAGATCTTAAGTGGGTGAGCTTTGTGTCCCTGAGCAGGACGCCATCTGTCAGGAGACACTGGAGGCCTTCTTCAGCCTACTTTCTGATCCTCTTTGGGATGAGTTAATTGCCCACGAGCAGCTGCTGGCCCTCCTGACCCAGAAGCCCTTTCTAGTTAAGCTTTTTACAGAGCAGTGAGGTTGATAAGGCTCCCTGCCTCCAGGGCAGTGCTGACTCTTGACATCCTGCCCCATGGTAGTGGAGCGGGTACAGAGTTATTTGATTTTCCCCTCAGAAGGGTATCTTTTTGAACACTAAAGCTATGGACTGGTAAAACACCTACCCCATCATAGAACGAAATGGAATTCACGTGGTCCTTCGAAATGATGATACTTCCATGATGACGGTGAGAAAACAGAAGGCCACTAGAGAAGAAATATACTTTCCCTGGAAGGAAAAGAGAGCTGGTCAGAGCTGGAGGGCTGGATCCTGGGGGCCAGATTCCAATGTCCTTCTAGCAGGTACCAGGGTATGCCAGAGTGGTAACTAGAGACCAGTATGTGTAGCACTGAAATTACATGATGTTTATGCTGAGCCCTGTTCTCTGGGGAAGCCAACGTACCCTCCTAGAGCCTCAGAGAGAAATGAAGCATCAGATATACTTTTTGCAGAAGAATTAGAAGAAACAAGCGAGAAAGTTGTCAGCTGATGGGAGACGCAAAATTCACATTCACGTATAGATGTCTTTCAGGAAAACACACTAAAAAAAGATTTTGGATACGTGTGCTCCATCACTGAGTTTATAGGTGCTCCCTTCTCCTATGTTGGCAGAAGCTTGCTCAGCTCTAAAGAGAGCACATCTTTCATGTAAGGCCCGAGAAGGACCACTAGGGTCTCAGCTGGAAGACTGGGGAAGGGAGCCTCAGGGTCCCTCTGTCCAGCAAAGGAACATTTGAGTTAGGCAATAATTGGGTTCTACAGACACGGGAGGCCTGCTGTTCTGTGGTTCACAAAAGCAAGATATGTGGGGTGTGGACACTGGATGTGGGTTCCTCAGACAAGGATTTAGGTCTAAGGAGAGCTGCTATTTCCTGGGTGGCCAAGGTCATACAGAATAGCTCAGTATGGGCCCTAGGGGGCAAACCACAGAAAGTTGGACAGTTAACACAAGGATTAAGGCGGGACCTGGGCTTACTTTGGAGACCCAGATGAAGCACTCAGAACACTAAGACTCCTGGGTAAATCTGCTTTCTGGAGCTGGTCCAAGCTGGATCCTTTCTATTCCTGTAGCAGCCTTTCTTTCCCTGTTTTCACATATAGAGAAGAGAGTAAGTACTTCTTGGACTCAAGGCACAGGCTTGGGGACACTGTCATCTATATCTTATTGCTAAGGCAGAGGATAGGAGACGAAGAAGAGGGACTGATTCCATGTACTGTAGTTCTAGGAAGGTAGTACCAAAGCTCTGGAGGTTGTAATGACAAGAGTAAGGGCCAAGGTGAGGAATTTTGGACACTTCATGTTTTGAAGGCATCCTAAGGAGGTGGGGTTTCAGGGACCAGAGAGAGGCTTGGTGAGTGTGTGTGCTTGTGTATGCGTGTTAATGGGGGTGGGGAGAAGTTGAGGAGATGGATGCAGTTTTTAGGTAAGAGAGGAAGGTTTGGAGCCTGAAAATCAATGAAAGAACTAGATGATTAGCTAGAGGGAACTAATGCCAACCTTACCATCTGAGGCAGCAGCAGCAAGCAACCAGCCAGCCCAGTTCAAGGCATCCAGGTTCAAGTAAGTCTCCCACATCTAACAAGTAAAGCCTGGCCTCCCCTGAACATAGCTTTGCCCTAGGGCCCGCCCACTTTTAAAAAAGATTTTATTGGGGAATCGTGGAAGGGGAATAGACAAGTTGCTGTCCTTTGTTCTTCAATCTAGTTGTGGAGGATGTCGCTTCACTGGCCCATGTTGGTATTGTGATCATTGCGCTCTTCCCGGATGAGGCAGATCAGTTGCCGGCCTTTGGACGGCGGCTCACGCTGGCTGCCGGCCACTCACGGTAGCTTATGGCAGCCCACTGCAGCCCGACTGCAGCCTACGCCGTTGCCGGTGACACACAACAGCCCACCTCCAGGTCAAGCTGTTGTTCACCATCTTAGCTGTAGAGGGCGCAGCGTCACTGGCCCATGTGGGATCTGAACCGGTGGTCCTGCTGCTCAGAGCTCGCTCTTCCAAGCCAACTCTTAACCAACGTGCCACTCGGCCGGCCCCCCTAGGGCCCTTTTGAGTAGTGGCTACTCATGCCCCAGCCTCATCCTGTACCAACACCAACGTTCTCACTGCTGTTCCCAGACTATTCTCCTCCATGCTGGCACAATAATTCCATTTCTTCAGAGACACAGCCCCTTCTTTCCTTCACTGCTCATGTCTACTGCCTTTCTAATCATGCCCCAACATTTTGAACAGCTTTTCAATATGCTCATGGTCTTCTCTTCCAAAGCCAACACTCCCATTCCTTCTGGGGGATTCGGGGATGGTCCAAAGCACATTCTGGCCTCACTGCTCCACAATTCCAACTCCACAGCAGTGAAGCAGCACCCAGAGCATTCTAACCTCTGGAATCCTCAGCTCCAGAACCTACTCTCTGACCGACCCCAGCACCCAATCCTCCTTTTAACTGCCTCACTCCAAAAACCTCATCTTCTGATGTCACTGAGCCTTCGAAGCCTTCAGTTCCCCCATTTTCCCGTTACTCAGAAATTTCTGACTTTCTTCTCATTCACATCCAGGGAAGATCCCCAGGACAGGACCTACTTTTAATCCCTTTTGTCAGGGGAAGGGATGGAAACAGATTTTACTCAGTATTTACTAAGTACCAAGCATGTCATGTGCATTAGTTTTCCATCTTCACAACAATTAAAATAGGAAATATTATTCTTTTTTTAGGACTAATGGGGAAACTCAAGTTTAGAGAGATTTTTTCCAAAAGTCGCAGAACTACCTGATGGTGTAGCCAGGTACAGAACACAGGTTGCCAAGCCACTACACCATGCTGGGCCCCTTCCGTTCTCTCACCCCTTTTCCTTCACTTTTGCTCTCTCCAAAGCCCATGTGTGGCTAATCTGACAATGGGCCTTCTCTGCTTCCTCAACCTCAACAAGCCCACAGTACTACATAGTAGTCCTTCCACTGCTGTCTCCCAACCCTTCCTACCAGCCCCCCAGAGCTCAGCCAAGATCTTCAACACTCTCCAAATACCTCTACCTCATCAATTCCGGCCACAAGATGACTCTACCTACTGTTTACAGAGAAAAGGGAGTCAACAGGTGTCAGGAGGAAGAAACTGATCCCACACCTATTGCTTAGTATCCATACCCTTCCACATTCTGGACTCACCGTCCTCCTGTGTACCCCTAACAAGAAGCTTCTCAGAAATAAGCTCAATTCCATTCAAAGGCCTTCTGGATAAACCTCGAAATCCCCCCAAAGCTTCCAGAGAAGAGCACAGATTTGAGAGTTGCTACATTCCAAGTACTCACTGGGAAGCCAGGGGAAGAAGTAAATCAGGGAGGTCATCTCTAGCACTTTCCCTCTAGACTCTGAAGCCTCAAAACAAAATGGAAAAGAGGAAGACAGAACTTCACTAGGCAGTGCTGGAAACACTCCCTGTGGGGCCTGGCCCAGGGCAGGGACTCAGTAAACAAAAACTGATTTTAGTACTGGTGCAGCTACCCCTCAGTCTAGCTCTGGGAGCAGTGATTCTGTCATTATTCCCAGAGGACACAAGATAATTGAAGTGATTCACTGGGTGGCCCAGTGCCAGTGCCCTGGTTGGTCTCTTAGATCCTAATCCACTTTTAGTACTTCTGGTATCTGCTCTGGGTTCATGACTATCAGACTATGGTTGGAAAGGACATGTCTTTGCAGGGGTTTCTTAGTTACCGAGGTAGTCAGTTCCTGATGAGATCTCCCTGGCTCCTTGTCTAATCCTTGGTGCCCTTAATGGATGGGCTCTGTCATTCCTTCTCCATTCTGTGAGTGGTTTTCACACTCACTACCCAAGAAGCAGAGGGGACTGTAGCATGGTTTGGTCTTTCATTGACCTCTGCACTCCCAGGAATCCAATAGGAGGAGGACGAGCTTTCAGGGCAAAAAAAGACACCAAGTGTCAATAAAGAATTTGGCTTCTCCTTCAGACAACTGGCTGTACAAATACAAATTCTCTAGTGGCCCAAACTGTGTGAAGAGGGAACATTTATCGCTGCTGGGGAAATATTAGGTTGTCGGAAAAGTCATGAAGTATTTTTCTACGTTTTTGTTGCAAAATGCATCATGACTTTTCTGACAACCCAATATTATGACGTAATGGCTGGATAATTTTCATTCTGTGTGTGTGTGTAATGTATACATGTGGTTTAAAAAAAACCAAAAACCCACAAAACCCAGAAGCCTGTCCTGTAGGACTTGCTGACTTCTCTCAACATCCTGTTCCTAAGTCATCCATGCTGTAGGTATAGTTAATATGTAGCTGTTTAATTCATTCATGTTTGGTGCCACAGACAACTTTCTCTTTTAAAGTGTCCCTTAACAGCTTCATGTGGGCACAGGGAACACATGAAAGGGTGCACAATGTAGGCAGCAGATAGCGGATGACCACTGCCTGGGCCTTCCCATCACAGGAAGCTGAAACTCAGCTTGGCCACCAGAGTTCTCAGGCTGTGTCACCTGCCCCATGTGTCAGTGGGACCAGTGCCACTGTTGCTCACTGCTAAACAATCTTTGCCCAGTGGGACAAAACACTCTGGAATCTATAAAGCATTACAGGGAGAATGAAGGCGCTGCCTGAGTGCCAACCATCCACTGAGGCCTGTAGGCAACAGTAAATACGTATATGGTCAGTTGATATTCAACAAAGGCAATTCAAAGGAGAAAAGTCTTTCAACAAATGGTGCTGGAAAAACTGGGCACTCCTATGTAAAACAATGAACATCAACCCATATCTTGCACTGGACTGTCTGCTCCCACCCGCCACAGTGGGAAACCTCATGCTTCACAGGGACGTCAGGTAGAATACTCGGGAGGATTCTGCCTCAGTAGTGGGGTAAAATTATCCTGAAATTAAATGCTGCTCTGCTTCCTGCCTAGCAAAGCTTAAAAGCAAGGCCCAGATGATAGGACAGGAAGGAGAATATATTAAAACAATTACTGTATCCCGTATGTGCCAGAAGCTAGAAGAAAGGCTGAACTATGTTAACTTGAGATATGAAAGATATAAAAAATTAAGTCAAACTTCTAGAGATAAAATATACAAAGTCTGAAAAGAAAACTACACTGAATAAGGTTAATGACGTTAGACAATTTTTGAGAGTTTAGCTCAGCTGCTCCATGGTCCTGCTGCTCGGCATCCATTTTGTTTGGCCAAGCAGCCTGCAGGGGCCTTAAACTGACAGAAGCGCCCTAT